GAAAATGTGTTTAAAAGGGCTTCTTGGAGCTAGGTTCCAGTGGCTCGTGCTTAGCTACTTTGAGGATCCAGGTTCAAGGTCAGCCTGGGCAGAAAAATCCATGAAACTGTTACCCCCAATTAACCACAAGAAAATTGGAAGTGAAGCAGTGGCTCAAGTGGTATAGCTCTAGCCTTGAGCACAAAAGCTCAAAGACAGCACCCAGGCCCAGAGGTCAAGCTCCAGGACCAGCAAAAAAAGGGCTCAGTGGCTCCTCTGTAATCCTTGCTACTATCACAGTTCAAAGCTAGGCTTAGCAGAAATGTCTATGAAACTCTTAACTCAAATTAAACCACCCCCTCAAAAAAAAAAAAGTGGAAGTGGAGCTGTGGCTCAAGTGGTAAGTGTGCTAGCTAGTCTTGAGCACAAAAGCTCAGGGACAGCATCCAAGCCTTGAGTTCAGGGCCCAGGACTTACAACACTGATGGTTACATAGGAAGATTTAGAAAAACTGACTGTCCAGAGATGCTTCATTACACAGAATGAAATGTCACAGATATATACAGGACTTTTTTTTTAAACTGGTTGTCGGGCTTGAACTCTGGGCCTGGGAGCTATCCCTCAGTTCTTCAGCACAAGGCTAGTGCTGTACCACTTGAGCGACGGTGCCACTTTTGGCTTTTTCTGCTTATGTGGTGCTTCGGAATCGAACCCAGGGCCTCATGCTTGCAAGGCAAGCACTCTACCACTGAGCCATCTTCCCAGTCCCACAGGACTCTTTTTTTTTGTCAGCCATGGGGCTTGAACTCTGGGCCTGGGCGCTGTCCCTCAGCTCTTCAGCTCAAGGCGAGCACTCTACCACTTGAGCTACAGCGCCACTTCCAGTTTTCTGGTGGTTTATTGGAGATAGGAGTCTCACGGTCTCTCCTGCCCGGGCTGGCTTTGAACTGTGATCCTCAGATCTCAGCCTCCTGAGTAGCTAGGATTACAGGCGTGAGCCACCAGCGCCCGGCCCACAGGACTCTTAAGAAAGCCATAAATTTGGCAGTGGGAAGGAAGAAAATGATAAAGATCATTGTAGTTTTTTTTTTCTGGTTCTGTGACTTGAACTCTCTTTTTTTTTTTTTTTTTTTTTTTTGTGACTTGAACTCTTAAACGCTCATCCTGGGTGCTGTCCCTGAGCTTCTTTTGCTCAAGGCTAGTGCTCTACTTGAACCATGGTGCCACTTCTGGCTTGTTCTGAGTAGTTAACTCCCCCCACACTTGGTCATTTGTGGAGCTTGAACTCTGGGCCTGGGCGCTGTCCTTCAGCTCTTCAGCTGAAGGCTAGTGCTCTACCACTTGAGCCAGAGAGCCACTTCCCATTTTCTGGTGGTTAATTGGAGTCTCACAGACTTTCCTGCCCAGGCTGGCTTTGAACCAAGATCCTTAGCATCCTGAGGAGCTGATTAAGGCCTGAGCCAGCAGCACCCAGCTTCCCCAAACATATCCTTTTTTTTTTTTTTTTTTTTGTCTCAGCAAGGCAATTTTCTTCTGTATAGGAATAAATAAGCATATCATAGCTTTTGTTTTCATATTTCCACTGTTTTCCCCCTTTTTTCAGTGCTTAGGATCAAACCCATAGGCTTCATGTATGTTAGGCAAGCACTGAGGTATGTACTCAGACTAAAGGGGAAATAAACTTTTTTTCCCCACTCTTTCTTTTGGTGGTTATAGTGGGGCTTGAACTCAGGGCTTTGTGCTCTTGATTGTTTTTGTCACTCAAGGCAGGTACTCTACCACTGGAGCCACACCTCTACTTCCATCTTTTTTTGTTTTTTGGTCTGTAGTGGGGCCTGAGCACTGTCCCTCAGCTCTTTAGCTCAAGGCTGGCGCTCTACCATTTGAGCCATAGCACCACTTGGGGCTTTTTCTGCTTATTTGGTGCTGAGGAATCGAACCCAGTGTCTTGTGCATGCAAGGCAAGCACTCTACCACTGAGATACCTTCGCAGCCCCTCCATCTTTTTGCTGTTTAATGGGACATAGGAGTTTCACAGACTTTTCTGCCCAGACTGGCTTTGAATCATAGTTCTCAAATCTCAGACTCCTGAGTAGCTGTAATTACAGGCATGTTCCACCAGTGTCTGGAAAAGTTTTTAATTAAAATGCTTCAACATAGTAGATCACCTTATTACATAAAATTTTCTTAGGTCATTAATTAGGGGGGAAAAAGAAGGAAAATGGCCATTAGCTAAATGAAGATAAAACAAATGTGAATTATGCATAAGTTAGCAGGCACAGCCTCCCCTAGCATACCCCTCAAAGCAATTAAAATTCTGGTGATGATCTTTTTGGCAAAGCCACCTCCTCAAGAGATACAGACTCTGGATGAAGCCCAAGGTTTGCTAATTTAGTATAAGTCTGTGCTTCAGAAAAATACAGCGAGGAAAGTAAATTTTTCTCAAAACAGTATGTTTACAAGTTTTAAGAACATTTCTTAGATAAAGAAAAACTTCTATAATACTTTCATGTGGAATATTGCTGATGAGCAGGCACTGTGCTGTTGTTTTTATTTTGTTTTGGGTTTTGTATTATTCTTGGGACTAACCCATGCCATAGGCATGTTAGGCAAGGACTGATGGCCCAGTTGGGACTAGTTTGTAGCTGACTTGAGACATGCATTCTACAGGCAAATATACTTTAAATCTGTATGTACCAAGAAGGCATTGGTGACTGGGTTGTTGTTTTACATGAGAACTCTTGCCTGTGAATTTTTCAGTGAAACAGATGTTTGTTTGTTTGCCAGTCCTGGGGCTTGAACTCAGGGCCTGGGCATTGTCCCTGAGCTTCTTGTGCTCATGGCTAGCACTCTTACCACTTTAGTCACAGCATCACTCTGGCCTTTTCTTTTTTTTTTTTTCTTTTTCTTTTTCTTTTTGGATCCGGTCGTGGGGCCTGAACTCTGAGCCTGGGCACTGTCCCTTGGCTCTTCAGCTCAAAGCTAGCACTACCACTTGAGCCACAGTGCCACTTCTGGGTTTTTTCTTTTTGCTTATGTGGTGCTGAGGAATCGAACCCAGGGCCTCATGCATGCAAGGCAAGCGCTCTACCACTGAGCCACCTTCCCAGCCCATCATTGTTTGTTTGATTTTTTGTCGGTCGTGGGGCTTGAACTCTGGGCCTGGGTGTTGTCCCTCAGCTCTTCAGCTCAAGGCGAGCGCTCTATCACTTGAGCTACAGCACCACTTCCCTGGCCTTTTCTGTTTATGTGATTCTTTTTTTTTTTTTGGTCGGTTGTGGGGCCTGAACTCTGGGCCTGGGCGCTGTCCCTCAGCTCTTCAGTTGAAGGCTAGCACTCTACCACTTGAGCCATAGCACCACTTCCGGCTTTTTTCTGCTTATGTGGTGCTGAGGAATCGAACCTAGGGCCTCATGCATGCAAGGCAAGTGCTCTACCACTGAGCCACCTTCCCAGCCCTCTGTTTATATGGTTCTAAAGAATCAAACTCAGGACTTCATGCATGCTAGGCAAGCACTCTACCACTAAGACACATTTCCAGACCCACAGATGTTTAATGCCTTTTTTTGGGAGGGGGTGTCAATCGTGGGGTTTGAACTCTGGGCCTAGGCGCTGTCCCTGCGCTCTTCAGCTCAAGGCAAGCACTCCACCACTTGAGCCACAATGCCACTTCCGGTTTTCTAGTGGTTTATTGGAGGGAGATAAGAATCTCTTGGACTTTCTTGCCCTGGCTGGCTTTGAACTGTGATCCTCAAATCTCAGCCTCCTGAGTAACTAGAATTACAGGCGTGAGCCACCGGCGCCTGGCTCACAGATGTTTATTTTAATGGTTAAGTAGTCTTTTACAAGATGAAATATGGGATTTATTTTCTTACTTTGGCGAGCATATAAGTTTTCTTCTGGCTTTATATTTTGAGAACCAGTGACAAAGACTTTGTCATCTATATTACCAGGGTAGTTTGTAGGATATGAGCCATTAGATTAGGCCTGGGAGGAAGAGTGTGATAGTTGTGACAGGGTCCAAAGGAAGCCTGTGACTTATGCTAGCACCAGTGATTCATACCTGGAATTCTAGCTATGCAGAAGGCTGAGATTTGGAAGATCACTGTTTGAGAGCAGCCTAGCAGAAAAGTCCATTGAGACTGTAGCTAAAGTAACCAGCAAAAGCTGGGTGTTGGTGGTTCACATCTGTAATCCTAGCTACCCAGAAGGCTGAGATACGAGTATCAAGATTCAAAGCCGGCCTGGGCAGGAAAGTCAGTGAGACTCTTTATCTCCAGTTAATCACCAGAAAACTAGAAGGGGAGCTGTGGCTTGGTTTGAGCAAAAGGACTCTGGGACAGCTCCCAGGCCCTGAATTCAAGCCCCACAACTACTGTCACACCAACAAAAGCCCCAGCAAAATGGGTTAGTGGCATGGCTGAAGTAGTAGAGCACCAGTCGAGCAAGCAAGCCAAAAGAATTAGAGGCCTCGGGGCTGGGAAGGTGGCTCAGTGGTAGAGCAGTTGCCTTGCATGCTCGAGGCCCTGGGTTTGATTCCTCAGCACCACATAAGACAAAAGCCGGAAGTGGCGCTGTGGCTCAAGTGGTAGAGCGCTAGCCTTGGGCTGAAGAGCTGAGGGACAGTGCCCAGGCCCAGAGTTCAGACCCCATGACCGGACCCCCCCCCCCCCAAAAAAAAAAAAAAGAATTAGAGGCCTCAACTTCAAACACCAGTATCACTTCCTTAACGCCCCCCTCCCAAAAAAAAGATAGCTACTGAGTTTACTTGATAATTTAAAAATTAACTTAGTCTAGACATGTGTGCATAAAGAAAAGGTCTCTGTAGAACAGACTATATGTGTTCATATGATTTAAAACATATATAGTTATAATATACACCACAGAAGTATGACAGAACTTTCTTAAATACTGAGAATGCAAGGAAGAAGATCATTCATTATATAGGAGAGTGATTTAAATTATACAGACATTGTATAAAATAAGAATGTTCTCCAGAGTAATTTTCTTTTTCTGTTAAGGTACCCAAGCCCACCAATGGGATCTGTCTCAGCACCCAACCTGCCAACAGCAGAAGAAAATCTGGAATATGTACGGACTCTCTATGATTTTCCCGGAAATGATGCTGAAGACCTGCCCTTCAAAAAGGGTGAGATCCTGGTGATAATTGAAAAGCCCGAAGAACAGTGGTGGAGTGCCCGGAACAAGGATGGCCGGGTTGGGATGATTCCTGTTCCTTACGTTGAAAAGCTTGTGAGATCTTCGCCTCATGGAAAGCATGGAAATAGGAATTCCAACAGTTATGGCATCCCAGAACCTGCTCATGCGTATGCTCAACCTCAGACCACAACTCCTCTACCTACAGTTTCCAATACTCCTGGAGCAGCAATCAACGCTTTGCCATCAACCCAGAATGGACCTGTGTTTGCAAAAGCAATCCAGAAAAGAGTACCTTGTGCTTATGACAAGACTGCCTTGGCATTAGAGGTAAAAGCTATAAAGATTGGCCTTATGGTACTTGGACATTGGGTTTTCATTATTAGTTTGATTTAGGTTGGGCAAAGTAATCCTTGCTCATTTAGTTATATTCATAGAAATCAGAGAAGATGGTGATTTTTGAAGATGCACTCTTGGTGTTTTCGCTAATTATTGGCTTTTCCTGTTGGTTATTTCTCCCAAATTCTCAGCTTTTTGATAGTTAATTGGAGATAAGAGTCTCACAGACACTTCTGCTGAGGCTGCCCCCCCCCCTTTTTTTTTTTTTGCTTCCAAAGCCTCATAGATTTAGTTTCAAAATAGTTGATTTTCTTTCCAGTAAGAAAAGATAATGATTACAAAGATCACTTAGAGGCAGAATCATCATATAGATATATCATTACTTAAATGGATTCATAGTAACTTTTCCAGTTAGCATCTTTCTGTGGCTTACTAAAATACTAAAGAAAAAAAGCTGTGAAAATGAATGCAGATCAGCCTATTGGTTGTGTTTCAAAAAGTAGGTGTTTAATGTTTGGTACAATTGATAAGCCTGGGTAAGCACAAACCTCATGATAGCCTAGTGGGTTTAGGAAAGAAAGGTGGATCTGAAAAACAAAGTAAATTTTAGTACCTTTTTGCGTGTATATGTCGGTCCTGTGGTTTGAATGCAGGACCTGAAACTGTCCCTTAGCTTTTTCACTCAAAGCTGGAGCTCTGTTACTTAAGTCACAGCTCTACTTCTAGCTTTTTGGTAGTTAGATGGGAATAAAGGATCTCACAGACTTTCTGCCAGGCTGACTTCAAACTATGATCTTCAGATCACAGCCTCCTGTGTAATTGGGACTACAGACATGAGCCATCAGTACTTGGAGGGTTTTGTTGGTGTTGTTGTTTATGGTAGTACTAGGATTTGAACTCAGGGCCATGAGTTTTGGGTAAGCTTTCTTGCTCACAGTTGGCAGTCAACCACTTGAATCATGTTTCTTTTAGCATTTTTGCTGGTTAATTGTAGATAAGTCTCAAATTTGTCTGCTAAGGTTGGCTGGATCTTGTTTTTTTTTTTTTAAGTCTAAATAAATAAAGTTAGATTAGCTGTAAATATTATTATATCAAAACATGGGATTGGCCAGGCACTGGTGGCTCATGTTTGTAATCCTAGCTACTCAGGAGGCTGAGATCTGAGGATCACAGTTCAAAGCCAGCCCAGGCAGGAAAATCCGTGAGACTCTTATCCAATAAACCACTCAGAAAACCAGAAGTGGCCCTGTGGCTCAAGTGCTGGAGCACTAGCCTTGAGCTGAAGAGCTGAGAGACAGCGCCCTGGCCCAGAGTTTGAGCCCTACAACTGACAAAAAACATGGGATTGGATGACTTGCAGACAAGGGGATTGTGGTTCGAGGCCAGCCAGAACAAAATGTTAGTAATACCCCATCTTAAAAGCTAAGCTTGCCGGGCGCCGGTGGCTCACGCCTGGCCTGTAATCCTAGCTACTCGAGAGGCTGAGATCTGAGGATTGGTTCAAAGCCAGCCCGAGCAGGAAAGTCCGGGAAACTCTTATCTCCAATAAACCACCAGAAAACCGGAAGTGGCGCTGTAGCTCAAGTGGTAGAGCGCTCGCCTTGAGCTGAAGAGTTGAGGGACAGCGCTCAGGTCCAAGAGTTCAAGCCCCACCGCCAAAAAAAAAAAAAAAGCTAAGCTTGCCAGACCAGACCCTAGTGTCTCACATCTGTAATCCTAGCTATCCAGAAGGCTGAGATTTAATGATTGAGGTTAGAGCCAGCCTGGACAAATAGGAAAGACTTTTATCTCCAATTAGCCAGGAGAAAGCTGAAAGTAGAGGCATAGTTGAAGTGGTAGAGCAATAACTAGCGCAATGAGCGAAAACTCTGAGCAAGAGAAAAAGGACCTGAATTCAAGATCCAACACCACCTTTGAGCTTCTATGCCCTTACCTGTAAAATGCACTTTTTCTCTTATTCTGTCCTTAGCAGACTGTTCTGAAAACCCGGTAAAATGATACTTGTAAGCCAGATGCTAAGTAGCTCATGCCTGTAAACCTAGCTACTCAGGAGGCTTGAGATCTGTAAGCCAGATCTTGTAAGCCAGATGCTAGTAGCTCATGACTTTAAATCTAGCTACTCAGGAGGCTTGAGATCTGGAGAATCACAGTTCAAAGCCAGCCCGGGCAAGAAACTTCATGAGGCTCTTTTTTCCTGGGTGTCAGCCCTTCAGCTCAAGGCTAGTGCTCTACCACTTGAGAAACAACACCATTTCTGGCTTTTTCTGCTTTTGTGGTGCTGAGGAATCGACCTAGGGCCTCATGCATGCAAGGCAAGCACTCTACCACTGAGTCACCTTCCCAGCCCTTCATGAGGATCTTATCTCCAATAAACTAATTAAAAAAGTGATGTTGTGGCTCAAGTGGTAGAGCACTCGATTTGAACAAAAAAAGCTCAGAGAGCACCCAGGCCTAGAGTTCCAAGTCCCAAGACTGGCCAAAAAAAAAAAAAAGATGATGGTGCTTATAAAGATGTTTTGTCAGGGCTAGGAAGGTGGCTCAGTGGTAGAGCGCTTTCCTTGCATGCGTGAGGCCCTGGGTTTGATTCCTCAGCACCACATAAGCAAAAAGAAAAAAGCCGGTAGTGGCACTGTGGCTCAAGTGGTAGAGCACTAGCCTTGAGCTGAAGAGCTGAGGGACAGCGCCCAGGCCCAGAGTTCAGGCCCCACGACCGGACCCAAAAAAAAAAAGATGTTTGTCACCACAGAATGCTATATAAGTATTGTTATAACGTGCTTATCATCCAGTACATTATCAACTTGTATATATATATTAGAAAAACTGAGATTAAGTTGTTAACTATTGTTGTCTGTATTCATCCCAAGGTCAAAATAGGGGGAAAGTTGAGAGAGCACTCATGCCCACACAGGGATGAAGTAATAGAGTTGATTGCTTCAGAAGAGCAAAATATAATCTACAGCCTGCACACAGCTGAAAGTTAGCTATAATTTATGTGTATTTTTCCATTGATTATCCTGTTTTCTTTAGAACCAAGAAATAATATCTACATATATTATAGATGAAAGTTTGTTTCAGACTCAGTGATTATACCTCCCTTTCATGTTGGCTATAAGGAGGAAAGATTGAAGGCTGGGAATGTGGCTTATTGGTAGAGTGGTTACCTGGTCTTCATGAAGCCCTGGGTTCAATTCCTCAGTACCACAAACAGAAAAGGCCTGAAGTGGCACTGTGGCTCAAATGGTAAAATGATAGCCTTGAGCAACGTCCTGAGTTCAAGCCCCAGGACCATCACAAAAAAAGGAAAGAGTGAACATCTGAGACTTACAGTGGGTACCAGAGATCAGAGAGGACCCATGTGCTTTTTTATTTACACACACACTCTCTCTCTCTCTCTCACACTCACTCTTCCCAGGAGAGGTAGAGCAAAGAAACCAGAGCAAAACCCCAGCATGATGGTACACATCTATAATTAATAAAGCAGGTGAGGCAGAAGAATAGGAGTTCAAGGCCAGCATGAGCACCACAAGGAGATTCTGTCTCAGAAAACAAGCCAGAAGCTAGGTATAGAGGCTCAAGCCTGTAATCCCAGCTACTTGGGAGAGCAAATTCAAGACTCACCTAGGCAAAAAACACTTGTCTCAAAAAACAAGCCTGGGGGGGAGGGGTATGGTGACACATACCATGGTACACAGAAAACAGAGGTGGGCTGGGCTCAAGCCTGTAATACTAGCTACTCAGGAGGCTGAGATCTGAGGATCAAGGTTCAAAGCCAGCCCAGGCAGGAAAGTCCGTGAGACTCTTATCTCCAATTAACCACCAGAAAACCGGAAGTGGCACTGTGACTCAAGTGGCAGAGCACTCGCCTTGAGCTGAAGAGCGCAGGGACAGCGCCCAAGCCCAAAGTTAAAGCCCCATGATCAACAAAAAAAAGAAAAAGAAAACAGAGGTGGTAGAATTGTAGTCTGAGAGCCAGGCAGAACCCAGGATCCTGCCTAAGAAAAGCAAAACTGGGTGCTGGTAGCTCATGCCTGTCATCCTAGCTGCTCAGGAAGCTGAGATCTGAGGATCACAGATTGACGCCAGTACAGGCAAAAAAGTCCCTGTGAGACTCTTATCTCCAATAAACTACTCAGAAAAAGCTAGAGGTGGCACTGTGGCTCAAGTGGTAGAGTGCTAGCCTTGAGCACAAAGAGACTCAGCGACAGTGCCCAGCCCCTGAGTTCAAGCTCCCAGTCCTGGCCAAAAAAAAAAAAAAAAGGACTAAAGCAAAAACAGTGGGGGATGGGTCAAGTGGTAGAGTGCTTGCTTACTAGCAAGAGAGCTAGTTCATACCTTAGTACTACCAAAAGAAAAAGAAAAGCAGGCAAGAAGGAAGGAAGGAAAGAATAGAAGAAATGAAGAAACTAAGGAATATATTAGTGTAAACTGCTTATATTGATTTTCTCCAGCCTTCTCACTCCCCACATAAATCTGTCCCTGTACAAATAAACTTCTGGCCCGATCCACACCTTTGCACTTTAGGATAGCATAGATCCTCTGGACTCAGCACCCTCAGGTATTGAAGTAGGATTTCTTTTTTTTTTTTTTGTCGGTCGTGGGGCTTGAACTCTGGGCCTGGGCGCTGTCCCTCAGCTCTTCAGCTCAAAGCGAGCACTCTACCACTTGAGCTACAGTGCCACTTCCGGTTTTCTGGTGGTTTATTGGAGATAGGAGTCTCACGGTCTCTCCGGCCCGGGCTGGCTTTGAACTGTGATCCTCAGATCTCAGCCTCCTGAGTAGCTAGGATTACAGGCGTGAGCCACCAGCGCCCGGCTGAAGTAGGATTTCTTAAGAGCTTAAAGAGTGGCCAGGAGTTCAGAGAGCTCGGTTAATGATGTATATTTTAAGATAGCCTACATACTTGGCCTTTAACTAACTCCCCTGATCTCTCATACCCCAGAGAGAGGTCTTGGTACCTGAGCTTTCTCATGACGGTAATCCAGTTCTCCAAA